CACTTTCACTCCTCCATATTAAATTGTGAAATACTTTCATTAAAAAAAAAAAGAGAAAGCCTATCATATAAGGAAAGACTAAGTATAAAGGAGAGTCAAGCTGTGAGTTCATAGTCTTTCTTAGGGTTTACTTCACATTCCTATTTCTGATTTTAGTTCAGCTTTGTAAAATGTGTCCCCCATTTACCAACTGGCAAATATTTTATTCACTTATTATTCTCTGTGCTTTTAATGAATGGGACACATCAGTGTAGTCTCTCATCATGTTGTGCCAATGATCAGTCACCTATGGACTGGCTGAGACTGTCTATTATCACACTGAAATCCTTTCAATTACCTGACATGGGGTAGTTTTTACGCATGAAAGACACAGAGAAGAAGCTTGAAAATAATTGCTTTCTAGTTCCATGGAAACACCCCCTCCTTACATAACATCCACAAGTCAGACATCAGGGAGACACCTCATCTGGCCTTACTGATGAGAACAGGGCTTTTCTGGGAAACCACACAGCCACCAAAATTGTGCCCCAAAATTCTTAGTTGCCTTGTGTGGCCCCCAGCACTGTTATTGTAGGACATGGCAGGCAGAGTAAGAGTACCTAATTCTTGACCATCTAGGAGACCCCAGGAAACCAAAGCCATCATTTCCTTAGCTGTCTCAATACCCTAGGGAAAGGGGGTGGATGGGTGTCCCTGTTCTGCTTCAATACTATTTGCTAAGATTCCAAAAGAAATATTGCAGTTGGAGTACATTGCTGAATACTCACGCAGCCAGCAGATCTCTTTTACTTACGCCTCCTGCAAAATGGGGTTACATGGTAAAATGATCTAGGATCAAAAGATACTCAGTGAAGTAAATGACCGTTTTTTTTTAATGTTAGGGCTAAGTTTTTTGTCAGCTAGTATTAGTTCCCTAAGTGGGGGTATGCTATCTCACATTTACTTGTCATTCATTAATTCTGACCACAAATGCTGCTATTTTACAGCTGCTGGTCAGTCAAACACTAGGATCTGCTGGGATGAGAAAATGAATCTCCTTCCTTTGATATCAATTGCACTGTCTTCTTGTGTGTGATGATATTATAGCTAAATACAGGAGGGCAAGGGATGGTCTACCTACTTTGTTACTCTCTTAGTTTGGGTGATATGAGGAAACATTGGTGGGAGAGAGACAGAAGCAAAATTGGCTAAAAAAGATTCTATACCTAGCAGTTACTCTAGGGGTAACTGGAGCCTTATCCTATGGGTGAATTCTGGTTAACAGGGCACACACAAATCTCAGCATTATCCCACCCAACGGGTGAGGAAGTTGGGGTATTTATATGTTGGTTTCCATCAGTCATTGAGTGAGAGCTGTTCCATATGTATATACTAAAGGAGGACAAATGAGCTTTCATTCCTACCTGACTTAACACAATTTAATTAATTGGTTGTGTTAATGCCTAGATGTAAAAGTTAGAACCATAAAGTTTCTAGAAGAATATAGAGAATATGTGCATAACCTTAGGGTAGGCAAAAATTTCTTAGAAAGCACTAAAAAGGATACCTGAAAACACAGTAAATTGTACTTCATTCAGAATTAAATACTTCCACTTTTTGAAAAGCATTATTAAGAAAATGAATGGTCAAGTGATAGATCAAGAAAAAAATTTCAATACATATACATGATTTACAACTTTTATGTAGAATATATAAATAATGCTTTTTGTCTAAAGTGGCAAAAGATTTGGATACTTCATAAATTAAGATATATAAATTACCAGTAAACCATTTGAATGAAACTCAACATCCTATATCATCAGGGAAATGCAAATTAAAACTACTACATAGCTCCAGAGTTGCTAAAACTAAAAAGACTTGATAATACAAATTTCAAGAAGGACAGGTAGAATTTTTGTATTCTACTGGTAAGAGTACAAAATAGTATGACCATTATGGAGAATTCTTTGGCATTATTTCTAAAAAGTTGACCATATAGCTTTCTAGAGCCATAAGATATATACTGAAAATAAATAGTAGCACACACACACATATATATTTTTTAAAAAAAGGTTTGTGTAAAAAATGTTCATCACAACTTAAAAAATGGAAAACAATGCAAAAGTACATTAATAGGTAAATAACAAATTATGATATAATTACCTCGTAGGATGCTATCTAGCACTAAAAATGAATAAACTACTGATACAACAACATGGATGGAGTTAAAAGACTATACTGGGCAAAATAAGTAGTTTTAGAAGATATTCTATGTGCTTCATATATGAAGTTTGGTTTAGGAAAGCTAAGCTATGGTGATAAAACCCAGACTTAATGATTGTCTTTGGCATTTGGTGATTGACTAGGAGATATTCACAAGGTAACTTAGGGTTTTGGAATAGATTTGGATAGTGGTTATATGAATGTGTGTGTGTATATATGTGTGTGTGTGTGTGTATTATACATATGTGTATATTATATATATGTATATATGTATACAATATATGTATTTTATATATACTGTATGTATATATGTGCATGTGTTTGTCAAAAGTCACCAAATTGCACAAGGTCTGGTCTTTTTATTAAATTATATATATATAATAGTCTATGTGTGTGTTTATGTATATATGTGTGTGTGTGTGTGTGTGTATATATATATAAAACAACTTCATCTTTTAAAGATGGCCATTAAAAATACTGAGTAATTTGTTCAGGGTTCTGTTTTTCCCCCTCCCCTACTAGACTATAAGCTTCAAGGGGGCAGAAACCAAGTCTGTTTTGTTCTCTACTGTATCTTTATAATCCAATCCAGCACCTGAGAACTCTTGTATTATCAAGTCACATTTGTTAATATTACAATTTTTGAAGAGCTATGTCCATGGAGCTGTGGATTTATCATCTCTTCCTTTGCAGACATGATCTGTTCTTGGCAGGCATTGGTGGCCCCAGAAGCTCAGCACAGGTGCATTGTCTAGGAAGGGAGCTTGCAGGTGGGAACCCAGCAGGGCCCTGGGTGTCCTTGGGCACTGACAGGGTCCCAACTGTGAGCACCATCTGCTCCTGTGAAGGGTGTCTGACAGCATCCGCAGCCGTGGACCTGGAAGGTGAGTGCCTCTGAGACCGAATGTCAGGCTCCCATTACCATCTTCCCTGCCTGTAGGGAGCCCACAGAAGTCAGTTTAACTCTGGAAATAGGAAGTACCAGACTTGTATATTGCTTTTGTAATTTGCCAAGAATTTTCACACATGCTATCTTATTTTACCCTCCTGATGACCCCCTATGCAGGTAATGTTTACCCCTATTTTACACAAAGGATGTTACCTCCCCACTGTTACACAGCTGGCACAGGGCAGAACTGGGATTCAAACCAGATTTCTAACCATTTTACTACTATATTAAATGCTGTATTGCTGTGTCATTTAAAGACATTTGGAAGTAGTTTCTGAAATCTGCAAGGACTATTGGAATAATGAAACATAAGTAATGATATCCCTTGCCTTAATACAATTTATTCTATATGTCTCTGAAAGATTAGTCTGCCTGGACCACCATTATGATATGTCACTACCCTATGCAAATTTTTCACACTCCTGATGTGTGAAAGCAAAATCCTCCCTTCTCAACTGCTTTGCAGTGCTTTCATGCCCACCTCACCTTTGTGGCCTCATATTCTTTAAAAACTACTTTGCATTCTAGCTATTTATTAACCTCATTTTTGCAACTTTGCTCCTCAACTTCCTATCCACATGGGATATTGTCATCCATCTTCCCTTGTGAAACTTATTCTCACCGTTCAGATTAGGAGTGAAATGCCACTGCCATTCCTGTTGGTAGATAACACCTAATCTGAGCCCTTAAAGTGCACATGGTTTGTAACTGCCATGGGATACAGTCAGATATCATGGGTATTTTCCACCTCTCCTTGTCTTTATTAGACTCTGAGTTTCTAGAAAGCTAGGTGCATCTTTCCCATTTCTGTAACCCCTGTGATAACACATGGCTCCACACTACAGGTATTTCATCAGTTCTTCCAAGAGTGAATAAATTACCACCTCTCTAACCATTGTCTATGCATTTAATAGCCTTTGACATTCATAGTTTTAAAAAAGTGTTTGCATTGTAACTACGTTCTGTGTTTGGTTAACATTGCTTCCATCCTCTGTAAACTTTGCTTCTGATATGACCTTGCATACAGATTGCATGATTAGTAAATTCTTTGCAGGTGGGAAGGCACATGGAGAGGCAGTGGAGCCCACAGCTTTAAGCTTCTACTCTTTGAATCTATTCAATGGGAATAATAATCTCTACTTTGTTTCTTTAATTCGCGACAAGGTTATCGAGAGGACAAATGAAATAACAGATGTAGAAGTGTTTTGTCGACTATAAATCACACAGACCTGTCCTTCAGTTGCACCTGCTGTTTGACTGAGGCACACCTTTTATTGCTGGCAGCCCCTCACCACTTACACCTCTATGTTGGAGAGAACCTGAGAATCTTAAGGAAGTATGTATGCAGGAAGCAGGGATAAGAGGAAATAATCCGATTTTCTAAATGGTAAGTGAAACTGGAGATTTGTGGTGGTGGTTTTGAGGTGGGGAAGATCATTGCCATACGAAAGGCTGTTGTAAGGAAGCAGATACAATTGTCCAAACAGCCTCCAAGAGCTGGCCTAGTTCTCATGTCTTCCAGCAAAGGTCAGCATTGGGAAAGGCGGCTGTCAGAGATACCTGAAGAGGGCATGTGGTGTCTGAGGTAAAGGGGGGTGGGGAGGGCAGAAGACTGTAGAGTCCAGACCAACTACCATTCATCAGAGTCACTGCCGCACTTCAAGATTTAAGCTATTTTCCCTCAAGGAAGTAAAGGTGCCAAGAACAACGCCCACAGCCCAGCAGAAGTCTTGGGGCTTCTGATTGGCTTCCATTCCAGAGGAGGGCGGGTCTACGCCTCCGCACTTCCTGATTGGTGACCTGAGCCAATTGGTCGCTGCCCGAGGCGTCACACGTCAAGACGCCCAACATGGCGGAGGCGGGAAAGGAGCAGGTGCTTCTTGGGGTCGCGGGAGGAGCTGCTTCCCAGTGGCCCCTGCAGCGATATGGGCGCTTCATGCCCTTGGGCAACGGAGAGCCTCGTAGGCCAGATCAGGAACCTGGGACAGCCTCTTCCCGGACTTGGAAGGTGAGGCCTGAGGGCAAAGAGAACCGAGGCCTTCTTTCGCCCGTCCGGGAGGGAAGACTTTGGCCAGCACGTCGCTGCGCACATGGACGGAAGAGAGCATGTGGGCACTGAGCAGCAGGGTGAGGGCGGAGCAAGCCGACAGCAGCATAGGAAACATATGTAGTAATAATATAAGGCACAACTGGAACCCAGAGTATTCCCAAAATAATTAGGTAGGGGGATAGTAACCATTCATATATCTAGGGAATATTTACTGAGCATCACCTACCTAGGTGTGCTAGGGATATATCAGCAGACAGTTATATAACCCCACATTTATGGTTTTAGTCTGGTGGAAGACATAGTATGTGTCCAGGTAACAACATAAGTATCTAAACCACTTCCCATGCCTCTTGTGGAAAAACAATTGCTTGATAAACAATTGTCATGCTCGCAGGCCCAGGCAAACACACAGAAGTACTAAATTTGAATCTAGATTTGCCTCTGGATTTCTGTGACCTTGGTTATCTTCTATCTATCTTATTCACTTTATCTTATAAAGAGATGTAATAATAATACCTACTTCATGTGATTGTTGTGAACATTGAATAAGTTAATGTATATAGGTGACCTAAAAAAGTAGCTGTATAAAGTTATGTAAGAGTTTGCCATTATTATTTTTATTATATATATATATATATATATATTTATTTATTTTCCCTTCTGATATTTTTAATACCATGACTTGTCAGTCCCTTCTGGTCCGATTTGACTGTTGAGTGGGGTTTTGGATTATGCATGTGTCTGTGTGTTTTGGTGTGATTTGGACCGCTGGGGTAGGAGAAAGTAGAAGAAAGAGAATATTCCAGGTCAAATACTTAGAAAAGTCTCAACACAAGTGATGTACAGAGAAAAAGAGTAAGGCTGGTACTGAGAGAACAAGAGAGATGATAAAATGAGATGAGGTTGTCTGGAAGGATTGGCAGGTGCCTTATGAACATTATCCTAAAACCAACAGCAAGCCACTGGATGGTTTTGCTTACGAGGTTTCATCTTTGAAAGTTCACTCTGGCAGAAGTGTGGAGACAGAATTGAAAGGGAATAGGAGTAGATTAAAATAATTATTTAGAACACTGATTAAGTATGAGTGGTGAGAGCAAAAAGCTCCTGAGTTTCTAGCAGGAACACCTGGGTTGATGCTTGGGGAATGGGAAATGTTGGAGAAACAGCAGGGAAATATCCAAAACTTCCGTTTTGGAATTATTGCATTTATTTATGTTTCTGAAGCATTCGCATGGAAATGCCAAATAAGTAATTGGATAGACTGGTCTAGACTCAGGAGAAAGAGCTGGGCTGTAGATTTGTTATCAACATCCAAGTGTGTCATCAGCAAGAAGGTGAGATTTATAGTAAAGAGATTACATGAGCTTCCAGGCCTTAAGATAGTCTAATATTTGTGAATCAGGTAGAGCGGATAGAGTATCTAAGGAAGATTGACAAAGGGCAGAAAGTTGGAAGGCACTCTGGAGAAAGAAGGTGCCATCAAAGCTACAGAAAGTTATTTCAAGAAGAAGAAAACAATTTGTTAAATGATGAAGCACAGTGAAGAAAAATAACAATTAAGGAGTGTCTTGGTTTTAGCAACATGGAGGACCTTAGGGTATTTACCAAGACAAGTTTCAGTGGAGTAAAGAGGGTGAGAACCAGATAGGAGAAGGCCAGAGAGTGACAGGTAGCTAAGGAAGTGGAGCCAATGTGACAATTCTAAGACTTGGCTGAATGTGAGTAAAGATGGAGCATAATGAATTGTCCCCCAAATTCTAGATTATTATAGCTGGAGGCATTACTTGAAACTTGACATCAGTATACTTAAGACCATAAAAAAGACTTTAAATACTCTTGTGGAACACTGTATCCTGAGAAATTATATAGGCTGCAAATGCAGTATGGAGTGAATAAAGAGTTAAAGAGAAGGATGACTGATCTGTAATATGGTCTTATGAAATAAAACTGGATGTTTGAGGACATTTAATTTTTGAGACTGCCCAGTAGATTTGTTGGTAGCTTCTCTTAACACCCTTTAAACCCTTTCTCCAAAGGCGTATTTATTGACTTCATTTCTCAGATGGAGCTGAATAACCCTTAGATTCTTGCCCCACAACTCAGGGTCCATGGATATTTGACCAATGTAAGAAAATTGTTATTACAAATTTTCCCCTTCTCTTTGCAAAGCTCTTCATAATTGCTTATAAAAAACTGTATTTTTCAAGTTTTCAAATGTTTGGCATAAAGCCATGCTACAGTGACAAGAGATGAGGTTAGCTTTTGCAGTGCTTTTGAAAACTGAACATTTGTACCTTCCTTTGAATCCATGCTGAACCATCCTGCCTGCTGTGATCAGTTTCAGCTTAGGTCTGTAATTTTTTTGGAAAAACGAAAGAGAAAACAAAATTTGTTCTATTTTATGTGCTCTGTGACTATTGTGTAATAGTAATAATAGAAGATGATCCATCTAAAGAACTGTACTAAGTCCAGTGAATTTCTTATTTTAAAAATATATGGTACCTGCAGTATAAAAAAAAGTTAGGTAAAGCATAAAAATATGTTATTATGGAGGATAGAGCCATTCTGGCCTTTTTTTTTTTTTTTTCCTCTAGGGAGCTTTCAAGTTCAACCTTGTTTAAAACTATTTTGAGTTTTTTTCTGAAATTATGGAAAGGCTGACATCCTGGTACTGTTCTGCTTAGTAGTTTAATTGCATAGAATACTTTCAGTGATCATATAGTGAGAAAAAAAATCAACTCAAAAGAGAATTTGAGTTGTAAGACTCAAGACTTGTAAGACTTTTAAGTCCTGAGGAAAGGTGAAGTCTGAGACATAAATATTATATATAAAATATCTAGCATGTATGTATATTAATTTGATTTATTTGCCTGAATTGTTCTTGTTAAAAGTGAGTATCTGGAGGTAACCAAGCCATAATTTGGAAGCAAAAAAATAAAAACTTTTGTAAATATAAAGAAAAAAATGTAAAGGAAAAAGCAATGATTTAAAACTATGCTACTCAGACTTCAAAGTACATAAAAATCACCTGGGGATTTTTTTAATGCAAATTCAGATTCAATGAGGCAGGTGTAGGAATGAAATTCTGTACTTTCAACAAACTTCCAGGTGATATCAATGCTTTTGATTCTAGAACCACAGTTTGAGAAGCAATACTTTAGAAGACCTTGAATGAGTTGGGCAGCCATATAGTAACATTAAAAAAAATGAATTTAAGGAGTATGAGGTAAGGCAATCAGATTCATAATGAATATGCAAACGTTTTATTAATAGGGTTAATTTTTCAACCATCTGTCATTTAAGTGGAATGAGCAAATGAAATACAAACTTGAACTTGATTTTAATTCCTTACATCTGTTAGCCCAGCCTTTCTGAAAAGATTATCATAATAACAGATTGGTCCATTTTATGTATTTTATGTCTGGATATAATTTAGTCTACTAATTTGAGAATTTTGAAAGGTGATGTTAATTGCAGGTTGCTTTTAAATTAAAATTTTATCATGTTTTTTAGATTCCAAGGATTTCTCAGCCATGTCCTAATTGGTTGAAGCTGACAACTTTTATTTTTTTTCCTTTTCAAAGAGAAAAAAAAAAGATCCTTTAATTTTTATAGGCAGAACTTAAAATAATTGCCCTACTTATAAATTAAGAAATAGAATATGAAGTTTGTACTTGAAAAGAACTTTTAAATGAGGATTCAACATAAGATACACTTTGGGTCTTCTTAATGGTGTTTTGTATTTTTCTTCATTTTCCTAGCACCTGCATATTACCTAGATGTTACAAGTGATCAGTAAATGTTTGAATGTAACTTTTCTTGGGTAACATAAAAACTGTGAAGTGATAGCTATTATTTATTGTGTTTAATTTGGTATATTTCCCAGCAGCCCTATTAAATAAATACTATACTTATTTTATAAATAATTAAAATTCAGAGAAGTTCAGTGCCTTGAAATTAAGTTGAGAATTCAGACTTATTTTTTTGGTTGATCTGTCTCTAGAACTTGTGTTTTTATTCACTACGCTGTTTGTCTTAGAAGTGTTGATATTTCACATGGGGAAAAGCAGTTCAATTGTGTGGATGAGGAATTTAGAGATTAATGCTCAGGGTGGAAATGATAAAAATGACAGTATTGTTTTGGTTGTTTTAGGAAAATATAAGATTTAGTAAAACTGTAAGAAAAGTATTTTTAAAAATAGTAGTTCTTCCTTGCATGCCTGGTGATTCTTTATGGGTCCCTGATGTTTTGAATTTTACCCTGTCAGGTACAGGATATTTTTGTAGTCCTATAAATTATTCTTAAGCTTTTTTTTTTTCTGTGATAAATAATCTAGAAAGTTTGACATTTTCAAATCTTGCTTTTAAACTTTGTCAGGTGGAACCAGACCAATGTTTTCATCAAAGGTTAAAGTTTTTCCCATTCCTGAAGCAGAGGTCTTTAGAGTACTCTACCCAGTGCCCTGCAAATTATGAGGACTCTTCCCAGTCTTGGGCTTGTTTCCTTAAACACTTTCAGGTGTTTCTCCACCCAGGTTTCCATAGTTGTTTCACATGTCTATGCTGATCAGTACCCTGGGGATTTGAGGAGTCTCTGGATTTCAGAGTTCTCTGTGTATTCTTTGGTGTTCTTTTCTCTAAACTCTAGCCACACTGACCTCTCTGGACTTGCTGCTCAGCAATATGGTCTACCTGGGCTCCCCTTCTTTGCCCTTTGACCTAGAAACTTCATCTGGAGCAAAGGCATGGCTCCCCTTCTTTGGCTCTTGTTTCCTGTTGTTTCTCAGAAATCATGTCTTTTACTACCTGGTAGGTGATGTCTTGAAAACTGTTGCTTACTGTAATTGGTTCAACTTTTAGTTTAGTTTTCTTTTTTTTCCCCTCCTGTTAGGAGGGTGAATTGAATCCTTGTTCCTTTATGTAGGCCAGAAGTAGAAATTTGATGCAGTTTCACTCTC